AGACCCAGTTTCACCCCAGACAGGGTTACTGGGTTGGGTGGGGAGGGTGGTCTCTGGAGTGATCAGTCTCCCCTTCTGCCTCCTACGGGCAGGCCTATTATTCAAACCTGGGTTCTTACCAGTCTGATGAGCTGTGCTCCCATTCCCTTGCTGGTCCCTGCACCTCACCTGGGTCCCTTGTGCATCCGAGGCCCTCACCCGACTCCCCAGGAGAATGAGTCCCTCCTCCAGATCAAACTGTCCATTGGCACCTGGGGGATCATTTCTCCCGGCGGTTTGGGGGATGCACCCCAACAACAAAGGGAGGTGACAAATTACCAGCTCCACAAATCCCAGATGAGCCCCCCGGAAATGTTGCAGGAATCTCAAGCTGAGATATGGGACACTGAGACAGTTTATCAGGAAGCAACATTGTATTGTGCTGGCACAGACTCAGCAGACTCGTGTCCAAAGGCTGAGCCCCGAGAACAAAGAGGTCTCACCTTCTATACCCTTGCAAGCAGGTTGCAGGAGCAAAAAGCAAAGCTTAACTCATATGTGGTTGCATGTGACTTCACTGACTATTTCATTCCCCCAGTGCTATCTGACCTTCTTCATGTTTCAGTTCTTTAAGTTGTATTTCTTTGCTATGCCATCCCCTGCTACATTATCAGAACACAAACTTGTCTTTTTCTTTTCTGGTCCTCCTCCCTGCTACAGTTGTTGTATGCCTGCAATTAAAACTTAACAGAAGCTGGATGCCAGTGGCTTATGCCTGTAATCCTAGCTACTCAGGAGGCAGAGATCCGGAGGATCGCAGTTCAAAGCCAACCTGGGCAAATAGTTTGTGAGACCCTATCTAAAAATACCCTTCACAAAAATAGGGGTGGTGGAAGTGGCTCAAGGTGAAAGCCTGAGTTCAAGCCCCAATACCACAAAACAAAAACAAAAGCAAAACCCCAAAAAACTTAATGGAGGATTCTGTATTTTATTTTCGAAATCTGACAACTCTACTTCCTTTGCAAAACAAGGAGGCCCTCTCTGATGACCTAATGCTTCCGTGGTGTTCTGTGATCATTTCACTGAAGAGGTGACCTCTATCCTTGTGTGGCACACTCAGGAAACTTTGCTGCTAACGCCAGATCTGCTACCTTAAGCAAATGACCACTTACAGAAACAGGAGAACATTTGTACATCTCCCAGGAGTCCTTGGAAAAGATCCAAAAAAAGTCTATCCCAGCTTTGTGCTTCATTCTCTGTAGCCACTTAGGAAACTACCTGAACAATGGAGAAGGTCTGTAACAGCAGAGCCATGCTGCAGACAAAATGCTATGTCTCCTTCTTCAGGACTCAAGCTGTCTGCCTCAGAGGCACTATGAGCTACGGATTCTGGGAAATGAAGAGCCAAACAAAAAGCCAGAGTTGAAAAGCCACCTCATTCACTGAGTGCTTACATTTTTTCTCACAACAGCTATGAAATGGTTACTAGTATTAATGCCATCATTTAAGACCCTAAAGCTCAAAAATTAATTGATGTACCCAAGATCACATAGCTAGTAAATGACAGAGCTAGGGTGTGAACCAAGTCTGGTTGACCTTCAAATCATTTAATTACCCTTGTAAGTTACGGGTACATACTAGAGCAAATCTAAAGCAGGCAATGGAGGGAGCATCCTGGATCCAGCTGCTGGGGTCCAATGCTTTGTGGGCCAAAGTTTTAAGGTAGACAGTGGAATGGTAGGGACGTTTTCTGGGCCTGGGTGTCTACTTCCTTCAACATCTTAGCTCTTTGGCCAAAGCCATCTCTGTGCCTGGACCCTCAAAGGTGCTTTGTGGAATTATCCCTGCCCAATGAAGCTGGAGTTGAAGCTGGCTTCATCCATGTTTGGGGAACTTCTCCCTCCTGTGTTCACATATCCAATCAGTGTAGGGTTTTGAGTGTATTTTCCCCCCTTGTGGACAGTTACAGTGTTTCTGTGCCATGAGGTCCTTTCCTTCTGGTGGGTGAGGAGGCATGAGTCCACAGGATGCTATTTCACCATGTAGTCCGTATGCATAGCTTCTCTCCCCTGTGCATTTCCTGGTGTTGGATGAGGTTCAAGTTCTCACTAAAGCTCCTTTTTATATTCTGAGCATTTTAACAGCTTTTTCTTTCAGGTAGGTCCTCAGATACTGAAGGTACAAGTTGTTGTGGCAGAACTCTTTCTCACTTTCTATGCTGATACAGCTTTTCCTTTTTTTGGTGGGACTGGGGTTTGAACTCAGGACTTTGTACTTGCAAAGCAAGCACTCTACTGTTTGAGCCAGACACCTGTGGCTAGTAATCCTAGCTACTTGGGAGGCTGAGATCAGGAGAATCAAGGCTCAAGGCCAGCCCTGCCAAATTGTTCATGAAACTCCATCTCTAAGATAACTACATCAAAATGGACTGGAGGCGTATCTCAAGCAACAGAATGCCCAGCTAACAAGCATGAAGTTCTGAGTTCAAATGCTAGTACCTCTGCCAAAAAAAAAATCCTAAACTTAGAAATAGGGCAGGAGAATCAGGGTCATCTTATTATCAGAACACAGAACATTATTTGTGTGACTTTTTTTCAATTCTCCCACATACAGTACACAATTACTACTATTCTAGGCGCAGAGGAGAAATGTCAATTGTTTACCAAGAAAGAATGCCTTGGCATTAGGGCTCAACCCTCCCTCTGGAACTCTGGTTGAGAAATAGTCCATTTGAAGAGAATAACATTTTGTCTGGCTTCTTCTTTACTTATTTATTTAGTTATTTTTTATTTAGGTGAGACTGGGTTTAGACTCAAGCCTTCATGCTTGCAGAGCAGGCACTTTACTGCTTGAGCCACACCTTTCTGGCTATAATCTTATATACTATAGATCAGGATCCAGAGTCTATAATGTTGGAGGCTGATTTGCCAAAAGTGGATAAAATGCAAATTTTGTTTCTGGTAGCGATGTGAGTGAAATGGCAATAGTTAGAAGAGATGGTAGTGACAACTTCAAAGGTAATGGTCATATTGAGCTAGGGCAGTCGCCAGCTTGTAGCTAATTTGCTAGGTTATTCCAGCAGTTTTTTTTTTTCATTGAGTACACACGCGCGCACGCACACACACACACCTATTTCTTGCAGCATTCTTTGAACCAGCTTCATCATTCTGATGTTGTCACATGAAAGTTCCCATCATGTCTTTGTGAGAGAATGACATTTCTCTAATTTTGAGAATTATGTCTTGGCATATCCTTTTGTGTGATTAGTGATGCTTTGTACTGATTGAGCCTTGTCTCTGATTTCTTACAATACAGTCCTCCCTGGGGAAGCACACGGGTTTGACAGCCATAAGTGCAGGCTGGGTGGGGGTTTCAACTTCCACTGTTCCCCAGACAGCTTAGTGTTTTTCTCAGCTGTGGCTCACCTGGGGTCTACCTGTTCAACTTTCTAGGGAATGAGTTTTCCTGGCCACCTTTTTCTTGAGTGATTGTATTAGTTACTTCTATTGTCTCTGTAACCAAATACCTGACACAAACAACTTAAGGGAGGAAAAACTTATTTTGCCTCATGGTTTCAGAGCGTTCACTGTGTGGCCCTCGCTTGGGCCATCATAGCGAGGGAAGGTGTGGTAGAGGTGGTTCTTCACTTCTCGGTGGACAGGAAGCAGAGGGATAGAGACAGGAAAGGGCCAGGGACAATATATCCGTGGAATCTGTCCCAGACAGCTACTTCCTCCAGTTAGACCCAACTCCTAAAACCTCCAGAACCTCCCAAAATAGCTGGGAAATAACCATTCACAGGAACATATAGTGGGCATTTCTTATTCAAACCGTAACGGTCCTCATTCCCAGCACCCTTCTGCTAGAGACCCTCTTCTCTTCCTCCCTTCAGCCTTTGGCTACTACTAGGAGTTGGAGGAACATGAGTGCTGAAGACGGGGATTAGATCCAAGTAAGTGCTTAGACACAAACTCCCCAATCTCCAGACTCATATCCTGTTTAAAAACACTGGAGAGCCTAAGAATACGAAACTTCTTAGAGTAGAACAAAACATTTGATGACTCCTTATATAGACATTCTAAATTGGTTAGTTTACTTATCTAAGGATTTTTAAAAATTATTCTTTCAAAGTTTTCACTACAATGACAAATATGTGCTTTGTAAAAATGTTCAAACAATTTAGACACATAAAAATTAAAAACTATTGCAGCCGGGCACTGGTGGTTTACACCTGTAATCTAGCTACTCAGGAGGCAGAGATGAGGAGAATCGTGGCTCAAAGCCAGTCAGGGCAAATAGTTCCCAAGTACTTATCTTGAAAGACCCACCACAAAAAGGGCCGGTGGAGGCTCAAGCGGTCAGAGCACCTGCCTGGCCAGCCAGAGGCTCTGACTTTGAACCCCAGTACTGCCAAAAAAAAAAAGCTATTGCAGACCACTCCTATTAACAGTCCCAAGTGTATCCTTCCAGACTCTCCTCTCTATGAAATCATGTATGTCTCACACACATAATTATTACTCTTCCCTAATTTCTTTTCTCACTGAAGTATTATGAGGATAATTCCATATCATTACAGGCATTCTAGTTCATTCTTTCTAATAGCTTCATGGTATTCCATTGTGTGGATGTATCACAAACTCTCTCTCTCTGTCTCTCTCTGTCTCCCTCTCTCTCTTTCTTGGTGGCACTAGGGTTTGAACTCAGGGCCTCATACTTGGTAGGTAGTCATTCTATCGCTTGAGCCACTCCTCTAGCCCTGTTTTGTGTTGGGTATTTTCAAGATAGGGTCTGGAGAACTATTTGCCTGGACTGGCTTCAAACTGCCATCCTTCTCATCTCTGCCTCCTAAGTAGCTAGGGTTTATAGGCATGAGCCATTGCCTCCTGGCTACAAATTATTTCTCTAATCTCAAAACAAGTGACATTTGGGTTGATTCCCAAACCAACCCCCTTAGCTTCATGCTGGTTCTAGAAGATTTCCTTTCAATTGCCTACTTGTATCCTGCTTGCACATCAGCTTACCTGGGTTCTCTGCCACCTTTCTGCTGCAAACCTCTGCTCCAGCTCTCTGTTGCCACTTCTTTGAATAGAAAGTCCAGGTTTGGGCTTTCCTCCCTTCAGACTGTGATCTCTTTCATTGACCTGATACCTCTGCTTCCATGCATTGCTCCAGAGGGTGAAAGTGCCAGCCACAATTTCAGGAAACCATCTATCCTGACCCTCCCTGCATTCATCGGTGTCTAGATGAATGGGTGAGAGAGAGCCACCAACAAAGCCCTGCCCACGTTGCATGTGAAAGCCCCCATTGTCAGACTTTTCTTTTTTCAGCCTCTAAAATGCGATTTCTCTTGCCCTGCAAACTCATTGTCCAAATATTTATCTGCCATAGATGGTAATTTGTGTAATTTTTTTTCAGGTAGAGGAGTGTCTATGGCTTCCTTTCTCCTCCCAGTGCCCTGGGTGATTAGATTAGAAAGGAGAAAGGGCACGTCCCTTTGAACCACACAGACCTCTGCTTCTCTGCTTATTAGCTTTCGGGGCCGGGGGGGGGGGGGGGAACTTAACCCCTCTGGGGAGTCATAGTTTTGAAGGATTAAGTAGATAGGTTTGAAGGACCCCAAAAAAGTGCTTGAGAACAGTAGTGGTGTGATTAGAAGCTTACCAACAGCTTTTTGGTAGTGGAGACTGATTTCTCACTTGTTTTCCAAGAGAATGGCCATGAACTGGTAGTTTATAGGCACATTTTACATGAAGGAGAAAGTAGGAGAGTTACTTATTTATTTATCTATTTTCAGTACTTAAGATTGAAGCCAGGGCTTGCTAGATAAGTGACCTACCTCAGCCCTTTTGCGTTTTTATTTTGTTTTTGAGATAGGGTCTCACTGACTTTGCTGGGGCTTGCCTTAATCTTGCTATCTTTCTGCCTCCACTTCTTGAGTTGCTTTAGTTTCGTTTTCTGATGAGATATGTGACACAAGAAGACCCTGAAGTGGCTGCTGGAGCCTTTGTTTTCCATCATTTAAAAACTATTCATAGGCTGTGCGCCAGTGGCTCACATCTGTAATCTTAGCTACTCAGGAGGCAGAGATCAGTAGGATCAAGGCTTGAAGCCAGCCAGGGAACATACCTTCATAAAAAAGAGCTCACAGAGTGGCTCAAGGTGTAGGCCCTGAGTTCAAGACCCAGTACTGCAAAAAGCAAAACCAAAACCAAAAAACTATTCATAGTTCAGGGTATAGTGGTGCACATGTGTAATCCCAGCTACCTTACTCCAGAGGTGGAGGTAGAAGGATCACAGTTGGAGGCCAGCCCAGGCAAAGTTAGCAAGATTCCCCATCTGAGAAAAAAAAAAAAAAAAGGCCAAAAGGGACTTCAGATGTGACTCAAATGGTAGAGCATTTGCCTAGCAAGTGTGAGGCTCTGAGTTCAAACCCCAGTACTGCAAAAAAAAAAAAAAAAAAAACCCACTTCTTTCCTTTTCTTTTATCTTTGCCACCAGTGTTACCACCCTAAAGAAAAAAGTGAGTTTTACTTGTTTTGACATTTGTACCATACAGTATGTGTTCCTAGGTATCTGGTTTCTATTACTCGACATTATACGTTTTAAGATTTTCCCATTGTGGCATGAAGTGTAGTTTATTTTCATTTGTGTATAGTTTTCAATTATTTTTCTTTTTTTTTTTTTTTTTTTCTTTTATTATTCATATGTGCATACAAGGCTTGGTTCATTTCTCCCCCCTGCCCCCACCCCCTTCAATTATTTTTCTTTAAAAACTTTAAGAAATGGGCTCTTACTATGTTCATTAGGGCCCTCAGTTCTTGGACTCAAGATATCCTCATACTTCAGCCTCCTGTGTAGCTGGGACTACAGGTGTATGCCACTGCACTTAGCTAGTTTTCGGTTATTATTATTGTTGTTTTTATGGATTTTTTTTGTGTTACTGGGGCTCAAACTCAGGACCTTGCACTTGCTAGGCAGACGCTGTACCACTTGAGCCACTCCACCAACCCTTTTTTGTGTTGGGTTTTTTAAGATAGGGTCTTGAGAACTATTTTCCTGGACTGACTTCAAACCACAACCCTCCTGATCTCTGCCTCCTAATTAGCTAGGACTGCAGGTGTGAGCCACCGGTGCCTGGCTGTTTTGTTTTTTTGAGACAGGGTCTTTTTATTTAGCCTAGGCTGGCCTGGAACTCAATATCCTTCTACCTCAGCCTCCCAAATGTTAGGTGTGCACACCACATCTGGCATCAATTATATTTTAATGTACCACAATTTTATCTATTTTAATATTGGTGGACACTTGGGTTGCTCCCAGTTTCAAACTATTCTCTACTGTGCTACTCCTTTTTTTTTTTTTATTCATTTATTCACATGTGCGTACATTGTTTGGGTCATTTCTCCCCCTTGCCCCCCTCCTCCACCAAGCCTTCTTGCCTGTCTTTTTAGTCTGCTTCTCTAAGGGGTTAAACCTAGAAAGTATAAGGGCTGAGTTGAGACATTGAGCAACTTCAACTTTTTAACATTTTCCAAAGTGGTTTTATCAATTTACACTCTCCCAGCAGTTTATAAAACTGTTGTGATGGTTCTTTTTCTTTTTTTGACAGTATTGGATATTGAAACCAGGGCTTTAAACATGCTAGGTAAGCACTCAACCACTTGAGCCAAGTCCCCAGCAATTTTGTTTTTGGTGGTACTGGAGTTTGAACCCAGGGCCTACTATTTGAGCCATGCTGAGTCCTTTTTTTTTTTTTTTTTCCTGTGACAGGTCTTGCCCTGTAGCCCAGACTGGCCTCAAACTCAAGATTGTCTTGCATCAGCCTCTCAAGTGCTGGAATTACAGGTGTGCACCACCATGCCTGCTGTTAATGATAGTTCATTTTATGTGTGTACATGGCTGGGTCATGCACCCTGTTATTTGGTCAAACGTTATTCTGGAGGCTTCCATGAGGGTGGATTTAGGCTGAGATTCACATTCAAAGCTTGGGTCTTTGAGTAAAACAAATTGACCTCCATGATGTGGGTGGATCTCGTGCATTTAGCTGAGACCTTGGATAGAACAAAGATTGTCTCCCTCCTTCCATCCCAGCAGAAAGGAATTTTGCCAACAAACTGGCTTTGACTCAGACTTCATCTCTCCCAAAGTCTCCACTCTGCTAGACTATCCCATCAAACTTTGGACTCACGAAGCCTCCACAGTCACGTGAGTCAATTCCTTAAAATAAATTCCCCTCTCTATATACACATCCTGTTGGTTCTGTTTCCCGGGAGAGCCATGACTAATATAGACCTAAAATTGAGGCTCAAGATTATGTGCTGTCTTGGCATCTGGAGAAGTTAGGGGGCTTTGAATCGCCTGATCTCGAGTGTTCCTCTACATTCTGCTGTTGTGGATAAGCCCGCTCTCCCCCAGCTGGTAACCATCCCTGTCAAGAGGACAAAGTGCATCCTGCTGATCCATGAGTAGTGGATTTCAGTTTCCTGGCAGCCAGTAGAATTATTCAAACAAGTCACTCACATCCTCCCACAAGGAGTCAGGGAGCACCCCATGCCCTTAACACTGCAAAGTCCCTTTTTCTTTGCTCTGTTCCTGAGTGCAGCCCTGTGTGGCTCAGCATGGCAGATGATGTCCTCCTTCCTTGGGATGAGTGGATATGTAACTAACAAACTCCTGTTCATCTCATCAGCTCAGTGGTGGCGTATGTTAAGCAATCCCCCTACCTATAGAATGGGAATCCCTCCCCAGCCAAACAGCGTGAATAGGAAGTGATGAAAACAGAGGTACGGCTCTAGTGGTAGAGCACCTGCCTAGCAAGCGAGAGGCCCTGAGTTCAAACTCTAGTACTGCTAAAAGAGTTTTTAAAAAAGTATAATTCTGATTATAATGAAAGTTACTATTCTGTGGTGCTGGTCATGGTGCACACCTGTAATTTCAGCACACAGAACGAGGAGGTTCTTGAGTTGGAGGCCAGCCTGGGCTACCTAGTGAGACCTCCATCTCAAAAAAAGCCAAAATCAAAAATAAATGAACAAAAAAAAAAAAAAAAGAACAAAAGTTAAACATTTAGCCAATCTATTGATATCCCATTATGGTCTTAATATTTATTTCCTTGTTATCTAATGAGATTAAATCATTATTCATGTTTATTTTCCATTTGAATGTTTCTCTTTCATAAAGTACTTTGCAGCAAAAGCTAATAAATGGTTCATTAAAGTTTTTCCTTTTTCTCCTGGCTGTACAACTAGACCGTATTTCATTGCTTCCCTTGCAGCTGTGTGAGCCATTGACAGAGAACCAGCTCATGGGATGCTGGTGGAAGTAACACGAGAAATTTCTAGGCCCAGCCATGAAAAATCTCCCACACTTAAAACTCTTTTTTTCCCCAACTGCTGGATGGATGTTAATGTCTAGGACACCTTGGAAGCTACACATAGAACACAGTGAGTGTCAGCCTGGGTGCCCGAGTGACTTTGTGAAGCAGAACTCCCTCTGATCAGGAGCAGCAGTTTTAGAGTTTACCTAAGCAAGAAATAAACTTCAGCTTCTCTTGAATAAGGCACCAAGATTTGGGAGTTAGTTGTCATAGCTGTTAGTTCAACTATACTTGTATCTGCCCATTTTTATATGAGGTCTTTATTTACTTATTTATTTTTAGGAGAAAGCAAGGATTTTCTTTTTTTGAGACTTTATTTTATTTTAACTTTTTTTTTGTATTTCTCTTTTTTATGTTTTTCCCCCCATTATAGTATTATCATTGTACTGGGAGGGTACACTGGGAAATTTACAAAAGTGCTTATAATATATATTCGTTAAATATACCCCTTCCATCAGAGAGCAAGGGTTTATTAGGATGCCATCGAGAGAAGAGAAATGGTGGCTAAGCACTGAGTCAGGGTTTAGAGTGACTTTTATACCTCAGTTTAAGCCACTTTTGATTGGCCATCTCCACTTTTTGGCCCTTACTGATTGGTTGTCTCTTCCTGGAATCATGATTTGAATTTCTGGCAAGGAGGAACATCTATCTCTGTTCCATTTGGACCTCCCAGGAGACTGGGTCCACCCCCACATTCCATCTGTTCCTTGATATTTCTTTGTCTGCTTTGTTTCCTTAAAATGGGAGCCTCCTCCACATTCCCCCCTGACAGAACAATAAAACCAATCCTGGCTTTACTGGGGCGAAGGTCTCCTCTTCTTGGCACTGCTTGGAGCTGGGTAGGGTTGTAGAGATATGATTTGTTTTTCTAGCAGAGGATTTTGGAAGTGGCAGAGTCTAATTGAATACCAGAAAAAAAT